CCCCCCCCCACACCAGTCGCCTGTGCTAGGATCATTTTGCTGATTTGCCTAAAGGACAGAAGGCACAAGAGCAGGAGAGATGGAAGGATGGATCCATATATTGTCTTACTTCCTGGTTGGGAGAATCTAGATAATGGAGTGATTTTTACCTCTTCACAAGTGGTCTAAGTTTGGCCTGTGGCCAATAGTGATACAAACTTTTTACCAACTGGCTCTTCTGCACCATTAGAAATGGCCTGTTTAAAGTCAATCAACTGTCTGTTTGTGAATGTTAATGTTGCAAAAACCAACCAAAGTGACTGGCACGTGTCATTTTTGACAGACATCGAGAGTATGGTTGGGGTTTATGAATAGTGACAAGACGCTAGTAAAGGACTACCCATGTTGTACATGACCTGGTAAAAGCGAGTCCTTCTGTAGAGCTATATATTTAGCACCCTTCAGGAGCCCTAAATTCTCTTCAGGCCAAATTCTGCCCTTATCTGTATCCTTGGCATTTATCTGTGAGCAGGATTGGGAACTTTACACGTAAAAATAGATTTTTTTTTCAGGTTGTTATTGGAAATTACAAAGCAAACTCCTGTTTATCTCTTCACCTCTATCCTCTTCCCACCCCATAATTTTTATCCTCTTTTTTCTTTTATTTATCTTGCAATCCCCTTGTCCCATTTCTTCATCCTATGTGTGAAAATACATTAATAGCTTGTATGTTTAGTTAACAGCTAAACATCTTAACAACTTACTCCTGTTCCTTTTACCTAAGATAAGTCTTGATTCAGCAAAGAATTTAAGCACATGCTTAAAATTAAACACACTTTTTCATGTTTCCCTGACTTTGGATATCTGTGTGGTCCTGAGAAGTGTTGGGCATTGATAGTTCCCACTGGCTTGTGTCAGGAACTCTGTGGACTCAGTATCTCTTGTGGTCAATGAGATTGCTGTGTGAGCAGAAGCTGCACATGTGAACATCAGGAAGGTGTCAAGAAACAACTAGCTTTGCCTGTCACTGCTACTGTTTTTACAGTTCTTGGCTTAATAGTTAAAAATTAACCTGCCTACCTCAAATTAGAAAGTTCTCCAAGTGCCCTTCTGAACATCAGCTTGCATTCATTGATCTTTCCTAATTAAATTCCATTTCAAAGTCATGTTGGATCAAACAGTCTCTGTTCTCTTCTTATATTACCTTCATCTGTTTGGTAGCAGACCTGTCAGGGCTGTCTTCTCATTTGACTGAGAACTTAGCATGCCTTTCATCCTTGAAATGAAATGGAGCTCATTCCAGCATTCAGGCCTAACAAAGGGCCATGACAGATTAAGAAACACTACATATTTACAGAGATTGGAACCTAATGTAAGCACCCAGTCCTTCATTAGTCTCTTGTCAGAGTTGTCAAAGAAAGAAGAGCATCTCGGAGCATGCAAACAGCTTAATCTTCTCAATTTGTGTTAAAAAAAAGATAAAAGGATGGGCTTCTTGTCATGAGTAGGGAGTTATGAACCTGGGTGGTAGACACAGTCATTACATAAGTTGTTGCTCTTTATATATTCCTATCTGTCTGGCTGAAGCTGCCTTTTGTCTTTGTTTTTGATTCTGTTGGTGTTAAGCATGACACGTGCATCAGCACTGCCTCCAGAGATGGTAATCTCCTGGAATAATTTTAAGGTACAAGAGGTGGCCACAAGGGGAAAAAAAAACATTCAAAGTGAAGATCCTGGAAAGTCCTTTAAGGCAGTGAGGGCCACCCTCTTTGGCAGGTATGCCACAAATGAGCCCTATACTCTTGAATGCCTCTCCAATCTCCTTTCTCTGCGTTCTGTTTTCTGCTCCCTGCCTGAGCTCTGCCTTATGATACTTGCCCTGCTTGCCTCTCCTCAGTCTGCCTGTCCTCTCCCCCATCTGTTGTGTGCCACATATAGAGGCTGCTGTGCCACTTGGTTGGTCAGTACAGATTGGCCACTGTGCTGTAAGGCATTGGAAGGGTTGAGTTGGTGAAACACCAAATTAGAAGTTTTTCAACATCAGAATCAATTCTGTTTGATTAATCAGGCACCATTTTTCAGAACTGCTGTGTGCTGCAGATTCCCAGAGTAACTTATCCCTTTATGTTGCATCTTAGAGAGGCAATGGACCAGATTTATTAAACTTTTGAGTCTATATGGCTGAAATCGATTCTGTATTTAAACATGATGATATGTATCTGTAACTTAAATAGCTGTCTTTTGCTTTCTTTGCATTGCATCTGTAAATTTAAAAAATCCCTATATATGCAGAGTTCAGGAACTATTTGGCACACCGTGTACAGAGAAGAGATGCATATGTTCTCTGCTCCCTCTATAAGACTTTATTTTTGCTTTTGTTGTTTTATTTAATTTTTAAAACTGCTCAATGAGGTTAAATAAAAATCAATACTAGTGAATAAAAATATGCTTATTGGCATTACAGTCCAGCGCACAGCCATTTCAAGCAGAGTCCCATTCCTAACCTGATTTTATCATCATGAGTAAGAACTGTTTAACTAGTGTTGTTAATCTTTAATCTGTGGATGCTATCAGGTACTAATATAGGTGTTTGTGTTTAGAACATTTTATCTGAAATCTCAAGAATGTAATAAACAGGAACCATATGCTCTGTGATTGGCTTTGTTTCCAGAAAGGAGAGGAAAGTAGCTTTCAGGAAACAAAGCCTATTGAAAGGCAATTGGATTTTCCCTGGGCTTTGTTTCCTGAAAGTCACTTTGCTCTCTTGTTGCTACAAAAGTGGCTACCTGCCTGGCTTGCACTAAAAGTCTAAAAATATTTCTCTTCATCTTTGTCTTTTACAGAAGCACCACCTAAACCAGAAGAAAACCCTGCAGAAGCTTTCACAGACTCATCCCTCTTTGCTCATTGGGGCCAGGACCTTAGTCCTGAGAACAGACGTATTGCCCTTAAACAGTTCCAGTATTATGGCTACAATGCTTACCTAAGTGATCGCCTGCCACTGGATAGGTCACTGCCAGACCTCAGGCCTAATGGGTAAGTGCTTTCAATTAAACTTAGTATGAGCTGCCCAAGAAATGCCAAGGATTAGTTCATGAGTTCTGAAGTTTGCCAGCTGGAGGAGTGATGAAATATAAAGCGCTTGCAGGGCTAGCAGATGGGTTACCTAGGTTGGATCAAAAGAGTAGTTCATGGAATTAGCATGCAATTTTCAGAGGTTTAGAAGGATTAGGTGTCCAATGACCACTGGAAGTCAGGGCCTAACTTCCTTAATTTCCCTTGAAAATCCAGTCCTAATGATGATTGTTACATAGCCATTATGTGAGGTATGTAGACATACCTCTAGGTTCATGCTGAAGGTGCTGCTTATTTTTTGTACGTATCTGTAGGTACAGACGTACGTACAGACGTACCTCTAGGTATGTGCTGAAGGTGCTGCTTATTTTCTGTTAAACATCTATTTATTCCCAAGACCTAGAAAGTACAGGGAATTGCTGTTTTGGAAGCTTGTGGAACCCAGACCATGGAATCTAAGGGACCTCAGTAATGAGAGAGTCCCTCTGGAGTGGTGCAGTGTGCACCTTGAAAAAGTCAGCAAGCAGGCTGTTCTGGTGGGGTGCTGATTTAGTACATCTCTTGGATGACCCCTGGCAGCTGAATGTTGATAGAACCTCAACTTAGGTTTAAATTGGCTGTTTTCCGATACAGGTGCTTCAAGCCTACTTGATCACTGCTATTCCAATGCATGTTACGTAGATACACACATTGTGCCCTGATTGCAGACTGTGTGGGGCCCATTGAATGCACAGACTTCCCTTTACTGCTCTGCTAATGCACTTCAGTCTATTATGGAGTGCCCACTTCTGTTCTCCCTGTTTTAAGTCTCTTGATCCCTGCAGTACTAGGTGTATTTTCTCATGTTGCAAAGCTACAAATTTTGGTAGTGGGACACTTGTCCATTCGGGACTAGATAGAGATTAAGATATTTCTGATAACCCACTAAAAAGGTCATCATAATTGTTGTTGATACAAACCAGGATTCAGTTCAAACGAGTGACCCAGAAGTGAAAGGTTGTATAGATCGTTATGGATTCCCTAACCAATCGAGCTAGTTCCTTTTTTAGGTCTTCTAACCATGTGTTTTAATATGGAAAAGAAGCAAATCAGTAATTTTACCATATGTTAAATAAAAAAATATATAAAACATATGACCCAGAATTAATAAAACAGTTTGATTACAGAACTAGTATTGAGACTAGATATTACAAAACTAACATATTTACGGTAAAGGCAACTTTAAGGATATCAAGGCCTTTGCAATTATATTTGCATTTTCAGTTTTAATCCATTTATCAGCATTCTTATGAACAATCTGTCTCTTTTTTTTAATTTGTTAATTAATTTAGAAAAAAAATCAGTCTTCTAGGATTAACAGGACATTATTACCAGAATGGGAGCAAGTCTGTTCTTATATGAAATGATGCTCTTCAAGGATTTTAATTTAAGTTCTCTAGGTATAAAATATTAAAAAGACTGAGAAAAAATGAACATGACTGTAGCTGGGAAAAAATTATTGTAGTTGGGACTTTTAAAGAAAACTAAGCTAGAAGGAATTATGATAATGATTTTCCATGAAAGTGTTGGTCCTTAATTAACTCTAAAGAGTGAAAAAATGTTAGGAATTAAGTTATGTTTATGATTTCATATATACAAAATAATGAATGACACAGCTTTGTTACACATTAAGTTTAGGCAGCTCAAGGAGTTCTTAACCCCTGGATTATCCACACATTAAGATGTGTAAAATAGTTTTAAGTACCCCTTAGGTGTATTTAAGTTATGCCACTCCAGGGCAAGTTTATCTCTGATCCATGTTACCCAGCTTGTGTTCCCTGAATATGTGGCCACTTCCCAGAGATAAGACGCCCAAGCTTCAGTCCTCCTGCATCCCAGGATGCAGTGTCCCTTCCTCCTACCCTCTTGTTCTTTGTGGACAAACTTTCTACCCCCTGAACTCTGGTGCCAAGGGGGTGGCACTGGCACCAAACCAAATCCTCCACTCACCTCTGGGGGTGTGACTTGGCAGGACAGCTTGCAAGGGAACGGACTGGTTCAGGAGGAAGGTTTAGTCAGGATGGAGGGGGGAGCAAGATTGGGGTCCCTGTGAGCTGGGG